AGGTTCAGTGGAAGTTCGATTTTAAAATGGCGAATTATAAAACTCGCAAAGAAATCATATGGACCCTTGATTCGACCGACAAGATAGAGGAACACCGAAAAATTGGGGGGGAAATATTTTCGACGTACGAGATATTCTCCCAGCTCCCTTTCATAACTCGTTTGATTGGCCCCGCGTGGATCTCACGTGAGGGCGTCGCGTAGGATTTCATTATTTTCAATATTATGCATTTCTCTCATGAAACCTGATTTCTCTGTTGAGTCCTTCTATGTCAAGTGGTCCAAAGTTGGTTGCTGCAACGAATGGGATTTTGCTCTAAAAAATCATGTGCACTGTGGGTTATGAGATTGGGATAAATCCGAATTTTCAACTGTGTAGGTCCAACAGTTTTCGAGGTATGTCCTTTGAAAGTTTGAGAGGAAAGTGTAAAATGACCACGCAAGCAAATGCAAAATCTCCCGAACTACTTCAGTTAGAAATATGAATAATACCTCATTTCAAAGCGAGTAGCCAGGCGTTTTTAACTTTCTCCACGGGTTCTTCCGTGCCTCAATGTTCTTTCGGGTCATACAAGTTTCATCGTGTTTCTCTGAAATCCTGATATTTCAGAAATTCTTTTCCTAGACCATCTCGAGTCCTCTTTCCACATCAAGCGCTGAACTCCACCTCGATCATGTCTGAGCAGGAAACCGTATGTTTGATATGATGGTTTGAACACGGCTTGAGAGGCACATGTGTGCATTTTTAAAGCGTTATCCGATTTAAAACTCCATTGAAATGTAACTTATTTTGAGCACGAAAATATATAAAGACATAGCCTAGTTTTTCCAGATATACCATCAACAACATCTCTATATTTCGCTGCCCGTTTCTCTTAACGTATTTATTACATTTGTAAGTGAATTACGAGAAGCTATAAAATGTTGAGAATTGACATTCTAGGAAGCAATCGTGTCCAAGACTGTCTGTCCAAATCATGAAATATGTTAAATGTTTATTTGAGATGGGCCAAACCTGAAATATGTTAATTCATATACACTGCTGCAATATTAGCATTGCATTATTAGATACCACGATGAAAACATATCCTTATATAACACTCATTGCTTTGGTGAGCTTGAGTTAGCCACATAGGTTAAGCGAAATGAGAAAAGTCGCACTTTTTACAGGAATTTTAGGGAATAAATGGGTCCTTGAACAATATGAATGCTGGACGTCACAAATAAATTAATTCAAAACGCTTCATTAGTAACACATTTACATTATATTAATAATGATATACCCATAATATAATACCTAAGTGGATGCATTTAAATTGAATGGTGTGTTTCCCAGTACAAATTTACGGCATGCATATTTCGAGATTTTGGATGTCATGACAGTTTTGGATATGATTAGAAGGGATGTCAATTAGGATGTCCATTAGGAGGAGGAATTAAGATGTCAATTTTCAGCATTTTTATAACTCCTCCCAAGTTATAAATGTAATGAAGACATTAGGAGAAACGGGCAGCGAAATATAGATATGTTGTCGATGGTATATCTGGAAAAACTGGGCTATGTCTTTATAATTTCGTGCTCAAAATAAGTTACATATCAATGGAATTTTAAATCGGATAACGCTTTAAGAATGCACACATGTGCCTCTCAGGCCGTGTTCAAACCATCATATCAAACACATGGTTTCCTGCTCAGACATGATCGAGGTGGAGTTCAGCGCTTGATGGGGAAAGAGGACACGAGATGGTCGGGGAAAAGAATTTCTGAACGATCAGGGTTTCAGAAAAACACGATCAAATTTATATGACCCGAAAGAGCTTTGAGATATCCATCATTCTATGGCATGAGCAAAACTGTACTTGGAATCAAAGAAAAGTTGATAAAGGTCAAATTTGAAAAAAAATATGGCATAATATGCAACTTGATGTACGCCTATCAGAATTTTGGAGCGATTTAAACACCACTATGGGTGTAGTGATTAACATACTTTAATCATAGTCTGAGTGTTAATGTTATGCCTATCATATGAAGTGACAAGTTCATCAGTATTCTTGAAATAAGAGGTAAGTCTGGTGTAAGGGATGTTCTGTAGGTAACAAAAGGTAAATGACGGGTAGAAGAGAGGGAAATGAAGGGAACGGTAAAATTGTATGGTAAAAGAGCGGTAAAATGTAGTTTAAAAACGCGGTAAAGAGAGGCAAATGGTAAAATGTATAGGTAAAACTGCGGTAAAATATATGCAAAAAAGCGAAGAATGAGAGAGGAACGGTAAAATTGTGAGGTGAAACGGGTAAAATATCGGTAAAAGCAGTAAAACATAGGTAAAAAATGCGGTAACATGTAGGTGAAAAAGAGTAAAATGAGAGGGGAAAGGTAAAATTCGGACGGTGATACTGAAGCAAAAGACAAAACCTTTGCGTCTCTCATGCAGGGTGCAGCTACATCGCGTGCAGAGCGTTCGGGATTCCATGCGCGAGGTCGGCGTGCCGATGCAGGTGCAGCAGAACGAGAAATTGCTGGCGACGACGGAACTCGAGGAAGTGCCTCTCTCCAACTACGCAAACGTGAGGGAACGCCTCGGGTCCCATGGCTCGATGTCCTCTGAAATTTGGGACCGAATCGTTTTCATTCGGTCGTCGAACGTCCTTCCAGGCTCAATACTACGGACCCATCAGCATCGGCACCCCACCGCAGTCCTTCCTCGTCATCTTCGACACCGGCTCCTCCAACCTCTGGATCCCCTCCAAGAGCTGCCACTTCACCAATATTGCGTGCTGTGAGGGAGTCTCGATCCTTTGTCCTTTACTCTTCGCTTTTCGTCTCGATTCGTAATCTTCAACGAACGGAATCCATGGCAGGATGGACAAAGAGGGCATTCATCATTCTCTTTATTCAACTGTGTTTCTCCACGAGACATGCGCTGATATTAGGCGTCCATGGACTCCACATGCACCTTACCGACTCGTAATAGGGAAAAACGTAACACACTGAAAAGCAATGATGGAAGGATGAACTGATGGAGAAAGACGCTTTCACGGCGCGCTGGACGAAATCTTCCCATCTTTTGACAATACGAAGGAACGCTGCCGTGAAATAGGACATGTTTGGAGGGAGTTAACTGGGGGATGCTGGAGGGGTTAGTTTCTTTTCCTGTCTATTCCTGATGCAATCAGCGCCTGCAATGTGTTTCTTCTTACTTGAGTTGTTCCCCGAGAGTACCAATGAAATAGTCATAGGTGCAGCACATGGTTTTGTTGGAAAACTAACAATTAAGAAAAGGAGCGCGCATTGAAGGCGTCATGCCTATGAGCCTTAAATACGTGAGTAAAATGGATTCTAAAGTCACTCGCCTATTACATTCCATTTGTGATTCACGAGAGCCAGAAGCAACACTCAGCGCAGCCCTGTTCGCTCGGACGGTAGAAAGTCTCGGCCGGCCGTCGCCTTGTCTGGCTTGCTGGAACCTATTCCAGGGGGAGGTTTCACTGCTTCACTGTTCTTTAGCGGGGCTTCTGTCTTTTTAATAACTTTGATGCTCATCCTGAGACTTTGCAATTTGCAGGGCTTCACCATAGGTATGATAAATCCAAGTCCAGCACATATTCAGCGGTGGGAACCAAATTCAGCATCGAGTACGGGACCGGGAGCATGTCGGGATTCCTGTCTAAAGACACGGTCACGGTGAGATTCCTTGCTTCCATCGATTCGATGTCGAAAGAGTTATGTGACTTCTTTTTCCCCTAATGTTCTGCCTTGCAAATAATGCAAATGAAAGGAAAAGGTTGGGTTAGGTCACAACAGCATAGCGAAAACAGGACATCGTTTGCCATTTTTTTCTCATGGAATTGGATTCTCTGGGACTCGAGGCGAGGCGATGCATTTCTCACTCGTGCCCAGGAGTCATTGAGGCAACCAGGCCAATTGCGTTGTTGCCAATTAGCATTTCGCCCTTCCGAAGGGAGATTCAACTCTTCTGTCGTTCGTTGGTTACCTCAGAATCGGGTTTCGATGCAGGCATGTCTTTTTAGTTGACCCATTCTTTCATTTCCAATTTCCATTTTTACCAAACTATTCATTACATGAGAGGTATAATATAACTGAACACCACATGTGTTTGTTACAAACGTCCAAGGCCTACCGTTTCATTGAATTAAATTGCAAAAATATATGTTTTCCTTTCCTATTGAACCAAAATAATTCCAGGGGGAAAAGGCAATTAGTTCCAAAGTGAAAATGCGGTTTACATGAAATTCTATTTCAGCAAAACTTCGAAGACCTTTGCTAAACATATGGTATTTGGGTAGGGAGATGAAGTCAAGGAAGAAAAATTAGGGGAAAAGATATTAACTGGTTTCGGTAACAGTACAAATTTTTAATCTATATATTTTAAAGCCTTTTTCTCACTTTGCATTTTGAGCAGGAGAAAAAAAAATTGGAGGGAAAATTGTTATGTCCCAAGACATATATGAAACATGTGTTTTCTTCGATAACGTACCTTTCATGAATTTTGGCCTGACTTCGCCTAATTTCTTATTCTTCGGACATCATTCTCTTTCTCTTGCATCTGCTTACGTTCACGATAAACGAGTCATGATGAACATATATGGCGGCTCGAATTTATGAGCACGACACTGGGAATCACATCGGGGGGAACCCAGAAAAAGGGGCTCAGTGGGGCACTCGATCGGGTCGTAGGCGATTGGGTCAGATTTGCCATGAATGGGCGAAATCGCTTAAAGCAATAAACTAGTTATTGCGGTGGATATTTTTTTATGTTTCGTTGGACTCGGTAGATTATAGACCTCAAAAGCTTGCCATTGCAAGGCCTCTTAATGTCTTTCCATTTGTGATTTGCTCATACATCGAGAGATTCTTTTCGGTCGTATCAGGTTGGCGATATCGCAGTGAAAAACCAAACGTTTGCTGAAGCTAGGGCATGGACCCCCAAAGTTGGGCATTCGAAGTTAGACTTTCTCTGGAATCGACAACCCATCAGCTATTCACGTTCCTTCCGTTTTGTTGAAGGCAAGGGGAGCCTGAGAATGGCTTAGGCCTAAACGTCCGTCTGAGTGTTACACATAGGCTTACAAAATAACACCCCCCTGGAATGAACCCCCAAGGCACTTACCCCCAAAGTTTGAATTTTTCTGGAGTCAGCAATCTAACAGCTATGTGTGTGCCAATTTTCAGCCTCTCATCATGTCTAGAACATGGGTAGAATTAGCGTCAGTCAGTCAGTCACAATCGTCTATATACAGGGTTGTGCAAAAGTTCCTGTACACTTCGATTAGCGCTTCGATTCTCTTTAGGCGCCATAGCTCCAGAGAAAAAAATTAAAATTAAGACTGAAATTTACTATAATGAAAACATTTCACATAAAAAATATCCGTATAATTAAACAAAAAAAAACATCCGAATCGCCAAAAATCCGTTGATTAGTGAAAAATTAGATTTTCAAAGTGTACGGGAACTTTTGCACGACCCTGTATAGGAGTATATACCATTCATGGCAGCAATATGTTTAGCGCAGAGCGAAGTAACGAGGAGGACGTAATGTACTTAAAAAGTAAAAAAAAAAAAAAAAAAAGTCGGAGGAGCTTTTCGTATCGCTTTTAGGCGAGTGGGATTTCCATTTCCATCGCCCGAGAATGCCTAAAATGACTCTCTTTTTGGTTTTCGCTTTTTCGGTTTACCTGGTCGATGGGAACGAAGACGGTGAGCGCGTTCTTGGAGACGAGACCCTGGATCTTCCCGAGTTCCCGCGCGAACGCCGTCCCGTTCTTCGACTCCGCCGTCTCGCCCAGGCTCGAGAGCGGCTTCACTGCAAAGCGACGAGAAAAAAAAAAATTCGCGAGATGGGAAAAGGGGAATTCCTCGTTTCCGAGACGGAATCGGCGACAGACCGAGGGCGCAGCCGGGCAGTCCGGCCATCTTGGCGTATCCCGGACAGCAGTCGTTCCGAAGGTACCTCGAGGAAAAATCGACAATCGTGATCCACGTCTCGTGGCATTTCTCAGGTCGACCGACGACATTTCACAGGTCGACCGACGGCATTTCAGAGGTCGTTACGGGTCCTAACACTACTTTTTCAAATACAAGGTGAGTCATAATATCTCATACAAATTTAGGCGAAAAGAGCTGAAGTGAGTCCTCCCTTTCTGTCATCGACTCGTTTCTTTCAACCAACCATAGGGCGGTAAAAAAAAAAAAAAAAACGCTCTACCGCTTTCTATGGGAGAAACACAGTTTCGTAAATGCAGCAAAAAAAGTTACATTAGATACGCGATCGATATTTGACAGTTACAAGGTGTTGAAATGCTTGTCAGCTGTTTTTCCAGCACCCCTGCCTAAGTCGTGCAATACCCATTTCCTTCCAATACCCAAGCCTTCACACCGGATCAGTCTATCTAATCTAGTCGCGATTAGTCAAGTGAAAACATTTAGAGCCCCATAGCTCAACCTAATTTCAGACGGACGGACACTTGCCGATTAATACAGAACTAATCGAAGACAGTCGACCATCTAAATTCAATGTTCCAATTTTACCCCTCAACCTACTGACTACTACTAAAATTACTACTAAACTACTAGTATGGGCTTCTCGTAATTTTCTGGTGGAACGGACATCCCTGATGTGATTGCGTCGCATGCGCAGGATCTCAACTATCTCCAGGAGGGGCTAGTCCGAACCCGCTCAGAGGCATAAGCGGGCTTGCGGGTCGGTCGGATCTGCCCGACGCGGTCCGCAAGTCACGTAGTATCGTGTTTAGCTCGGGTCGGGGGGTGTGTCGGGGGGTTTCGGGTCGGGCCCAGGCCGAGATTAGATTCGAGCCCGTCAGGTAGAGTGAGGAAAAGTCGACCCGTGCAGGACTCGGCTAGACTACGCAGAGCGTTTTAGACGGACGGACACTTGCCGATTAATATATAAGATAGGCACAGGCTCTATTTCCCGTTAGCCTTTATCAGTCTCTAGTGTGGTATGGGACTCGAAGGCATGCGTGAAATGAGTTCCCAAGTGGAAGTACTGATATATTTGGTTCACGAAAGGCCTGAGATCTACGACCTCAGTCGTAGATCTCCTGTTTGTTTTTTTTTTGTGTGCCACCTCCTCATCACTATGCCTCAACTCCGACTTCTTGCCCTGCTGCTCTGTCCTGCGAATCAGAAGCGAAGGGGCTTCACATGGAAGCGAAGGAGCAACGACATGAAGCAACAAGGGGCAATGAAAATGAGTTCCCTTTATCCCTCATTAGAAATTGATCGGGTTTGATCGAGATAGGAGAGCGGCTCCTGATTGCGCTGTGAACTGGAGAATGAGACAGATGATGAGATGCGAAATGACACCAACTTCTTTTTGAATCATTCCAGCTCTCGCCCTAGCTTACAGGACATGAACTGTTAATTAGTGAGAAAGATAGGTGCGACATCAGAGAAATAGGGTCTCAGCTTGTAACTGATGACCTGGCATTCTCTATCTGGCACGTATCCATTCTCTTGTGTTTTTGAAATAAAGGGGTCGAAGAGCGAATTTTTTACTTCCTCATTGCATATAGCCTTCATTGGAGAATTTCCTATGGAATTATGTTTGCGACTCTCCTCAGGGTGACTCCTAGCCGTTCCTCTGGAGGGATAGCCCTTCGGTAGTTGATGTTTTGCTTCTCAATGAGATGCAAGAGGAAAAGAGGAAAAAGCGTGCGAAAAGACCAAAAGAATCGCTCGGGGTCTTTCTGCGATTCGGTGAAAAGGTGATGGAATTCACCGAATTGCTGCATTTGAGAATTGATGGGATGCACCCACGACTTCTTTCGCCATCTCTTTCTCCATCGCCACATTAAAGCACGAGTAGACGCCAGTTCTTCCTCATTCTCCTCCATGCTGCTCGACAAGACCACCGCTGGGGCAGAGGGTGAACTGAGCTGGCATTACAGTTGAACGTGCGTGAGCACCTGACTGAGCTCGACTGAATGGGCTGGACTGAAGCATGACTTGCTTTGACCAGACGTGACTGAACCATGACTAACTTTGACTGGACTGGACTGATCCGGTGTGAAGGCACCCTGAAATGCCCGACCGACGGACCAAACCTGCCAGAAGGGAAAAACGCCGTGCTCTGCTTCGACGGTACACGCCTGACAAAATTGATCGCATCCTGTTCGATGAGAAGCCGTTCGACGTGGAAAACGCGTCGAGGAATCGCCCGAGGGCGTGAACAAGCTGCAGAGGTCGCATCGACCGGCGTCGGTGTGTGTGTGGACTAGAGCGTCCGCCAGATTTCAATACTTCCCTGGTTTTTGTGGATCGAGGGGTCGAATTCGAAAGAAGAACCATGTGGCAGACATTCTCGAGCCTCGTGAGATGCTCATGAGCGCCCCCTGTGATTTGTTATTTTTAAAAAAGAGGGATCCAGCAGGATTCCAGCACCTGCCCACAAGGCACGTATCGCCCAAAACTGGTGCCGGACTTCATATCCAATGCCTCCTCACCCGATCTCGATCCACTGGACTCCGCTGGACTTCCACGTTTGGTCCAAGTTAGAGCGGACGGTCTGCACGAGGTCCAAATCGTCTCTAAAGCGCTTCCTTATGAAAGCTTGGAGCAATTCCCCGATGGAAGAGGTGCGTGCTGCAATCCGTAGCCGGCGAGGAAATTGTCGGCTTGTGTGAAGGCCAAAAGGGAGTTCTTTTCATGTTTAATAAATCCTTGGTGAAGTTTATGTAGTCGTGATTTATATATTTGAAATCTGATGCCTCTGTGTCTCAAAAGCGATATTCGCGAACCAAAAGTCTTCGTATGAGATATTATAGCTCACCCCCTTAAATATCTGGAGTTTGGCTAGAAGATGAGATCGAACAAAGACGAAGACTCTCGTGCGATGGACCTCGGTCGAAGGAGGTCGTTGGAGTAATTTAAAGTTAATTATTTCGTGGGGGGGGGGGGGCTCATTACCGTATCGACGGCCACGTTCGGAAGAACCTACGTTTTCGTCCCGCAGAGATCCCCGCCGGTCCAGGGAACGGGATATCGGATGGGGCTGGGGGAAAAGCCGGCCTCCTCCACCGGGCACACGTTCACGCTGCAAAAGGCCAACATTTTGACTGTATCGGTCTCGAGGGATTGGGGGGGGGGGGGGGGGGGGGGGGGGGGGGGGTCGTCTTTGTTCGATCTCATCTTCTAGCCAAACTCCAGATATTTAAGGGGGTGAATGTCGTGTACTGGGGAAAATGCGATAGCGACAAGAGAATGATGGGGAAAGTAGCGAGCTTCCTTTCGGTTCGGCTTTGTCGATGGCGATGACGAGGTTTTACTGACGAAATGTCGGGGGATATGAAGAAAGGAGTGAAAAGAATATGCCTAAATGCTTCATGCTTGGGAGCGACAGGGAACATCGTCCATCCCATGCTCAACGGTTTACCTTTTCCAATTTAGCCGATTAATTTGTTACTGGGTGCATTTTAGAAAACCAGCTCGGTGCTAGTTCATCATCACGGTCGGTTGTTGGTTTTGGGCTATGGGAAAGGAGTCGTGGGGTGACTACGAAGGGACTGCTTCGTATTCACTCCAAGACGAATAGAAAGAAACTGGTGCGATTGGCATTGTTGCCGAGAGTCGCGGAGGGTTTCGTCGCACTCGCAAAAAATTGGACGGTAGGGAAGTTCGCCTATACCGTCTGCAAGCAGAAAAAAGGTCTCCGTTACCCGTGGCCATGCTGGAGGGTGTCCAGGACCTTCTTCCTCCAAGAGGCGCTTTTGCTGCCTGCAGGCTTCACTCTTTCACATTTGCACACCAGACACAAGGTCATACACGCGATAACCAACACGGATTTCAGACGCATTTTTCTCATTCCCACCCGACGCAAAGATGGGCGTCGCAAGGAGGGAAAGGGCAAAGAAGAAAAAAAATCGACCCTGAGCGAGAAGAGGGGAGGGGGAAGGGCATAGACCCCTCCCAGAGGGGGAAGCTAGGATCACTGCCTGATAGGAAACAGATCACCTCCTCAGGCATCAATGGATGGGAGGTTATGTTTGTGCCTCGAGCTTCAACTCGACCAAAGGAATACTCCCATTTCAACTCCTGAGATATGGCTCTGTTTAATTCATTTACCTCTCCATCGCAAGACATAAACTCTTCAACATTGTCCAAAAAAGCATGGCAAAAAAATAAAGGATCACTGGATGGCACCAAAGTACACCGCAGAGGGGGTAAAATATTTGGACTCGAGGTTCATCGTCTGAGATCTAAGGAATATGGCTACAATCATCGAATCATCGTCTAAAAATATGACCATCATGGAAAACACTCAAATGTGAGCACAAGAAATGCACTAGCCATCAGACAGAGCTTGAAGTAATCAGTCAAGAGGATATGAAATGACCTGAGTCCTACAACATCCTGATATCTATCATTCATGATGCATGAAATGTCCCATGGCTACAGGAATGAATGACTAGCAAGAAAATAACCGGTTACAATACTGGAGAACAGGATGGAAATAAAAAAAATGGTGTGAAGATATGGAAAGCCCTGACAGCACACCGTCATCATCATGACTAGAATCCCTGCTCTGAGATGCACAAAAGTAGAAATCTGATTGAAAAGACTGCTAGTTAAACATCATGACCGATGGTGGATTGCATATGCAAGCATATTCAAATGAAAACAGAACACTTTTTCTGGAAAGTACAAATTCAGGCTATCAATTCAAAGGCTTTCATGCTACTACATTTGGATGGTTAGGAATTGCTGATATACCTATAATTGATGTTTTGAATTAACTGTTTGGCAATACAGTACATAACATTTAAAATAAAAATTTAATAATGATGCCGCAGATCAGGTCAAGAGGCAGAAGCAATGGCTTTTGCAACTCAGAGGATACATGCATGTAGTTGATTTTTTCACACAATAATAGAATCCTGGAATCATGCTCTATACTAATATTGCACAAATGCAAATGGGCGGGAACATCACATCATGAATGCCTGATCACAGGCAAGAGCAGAACACCAGTTCATCACATCTATTACATCATGGAGACTCATCTGCTGCATGAGCTTCTTACAAATGTATTAATGGATCACGTTGTACATCACCACTGACTACATCACATCTCATATTGGCAGGAAAGACAGGTGCATGTTCTCATCTCACACTCAGACACAGTCACTCTTCAACATGAGATGACCTTTCAAGAGACATGACAAAGGGCAAGGTATAAAGGATACTATGATGTAGCTCTGGACATAAACACAACATTGAGTATGGGAGGAATGGCACTACAGACCACAGAATACCTAATGAATTTCAAATTGCATCAGCAACAATATCCTATTGCAGGACTTTGAACCACAATGAAACCAAACACCAGAAGATATTCCGTATGGGAAACAAGAATTGCAACTGATACCAAGATGGACATTCAAGCTGGAAACTGGATGAAAATTATGCAATCCCCACATGGTTACTAACCTTTCATTTTCTTGACCTGCAAGCTTTTATTCCTTTTTTATCTTTCAAAAAAGATCTGCTCTTTGAAAAAAATATATTTCAAGAGGTAAAGTTCTCTCATCTTGTTTCATTCTTATGCAGCTGTCTATAATGAGGCAACACTGCCACAATATCACTATAATCAATGCTTATGCCCAGCACTTGCAGTCAACAATCTAGTTTCACTACCAAGCTACATAAGTGACCAAAAGCCAGATGAGAGATTTAGGCTCTGTAAAACCATAGAGAAACACCAGCTGCTTCCAGAAGCAGTTTTCATCCAGCTTACTTTGTAAACATGTCCATCCTATTCCAGGTGAATGAAATATTCGCTTCAACTTTTAATAAATTCAGGTTTGCATAAAACTGGTGAGAAATTTTGAGAAGTGAACCAAACATAAACCATGACAAACTGACTAGGAAAGGAGCCTATCTAGAACAAATCCATTTTCTCTAAATTTCTTCATTTCTATGCTTAATTTCTTTCATTTTCTATGAAACTCTGCTCTTCTTTGACACAAATATAATCAAAGTGAGAATTCCCAGGTATGTGGGAAGCACTGAGATCCAAGATAAGTCAATGAATACCTCAAAAATTACAAAGCAGAGACCTGCTCTTGTCCAGGAATAAACTCAAAAACAGACTGAGATAGAGGACAATGCGAGTTAAAACCATTGTCTTGCAGCAATGAGGAGGAAATAAGGATGGTGAAGCCAATTGATGACAATGACCAAGGCTATGGAAGAGGCCAAGGTAAGCCGTTGAAATCAACAGGTCCTCCAAGCCCAGCATCTGCTTCAAGAAGACTCATGATGACAGCCATGGCAGCTTCATCATTTCCTTCACTGCCTCCATCATTTGCTTCACTTCCACTTTGATTCTCTGCTCCTTGCAGGAGGTCTCCACTGACAGCTCCCATCAGCTCATTCTCTCCTTGCAGGCCTACATAGTAAGTCAAATGAGAGAGGTATAACAAAAAGCAAATTATTAGAGGATCCAAGTGATTTAGATTCATGATATCCTGCACTTTGGTCCAGGAATCATATCAGTAAAAGATTTATGATTTAATCAAAAGAAAAGGGGAGGGAAAATTTCCCCATCAAAGAAGCATGCAACAATTTCCTCTTCTTGTCCATCATCGGACCCAGAATTTAGCTAGCTCATTGTAAGGAAATGAGTTCCATATCAAAACTTACAAGCAGAATTACTCCTGCTATATGCCCCTCTGTCTGAATGAGTTCCATTGAACTGTGGAGGTCTAAGGGTTTGAGCAGCAGCAGATGCTGCAGCTGCAGCTACATTCACCAGCACTGTTTGGTTCTTCACTCCAGATTCTCCCTGCTTTCCGAAGAAATTCAAGCAACATCATAAAGGTTCAATATCAACCCTTACCACAAATTAGTACAATCTGTCTTTGGAAAATTCCTACAGTTAAATGCAGCTAATCAATCTCAATTTCTCTAATGTTTCCTTTGGAGAGTGATGGCCTGTACTACACAATACAAAGTCTAAAGTCAGAAAAAATGCCAAATTCACAACTTTGAATAAAAACTATGTGAAATTCAGCAGAACAAGTTGCAACTCAGCACATTTATTGGTTCTACACAGGTTAAAAATTACTCCAACTTGATGGCTGTTTCCAAGTTTTCTACAGAGAAAATGGTGGGGTCCCAAATGATAATAAATGGCAAAATTTGAAATGCATTAGAAAATACTTTATCTTAAATGAATAATGCTTATACATTCAGATGTGGATTTTCTAGATGAATGAATTTGGTACTGGAGTAATTTTTATGTGACTGATAGCTTGTGAAATGAATGAGTTTTAAGATTGGTCAAGAAGGGCCCCTTGGTTGGTTTTAGAGGTCATAGAGAGGTTACATTTTTTATTATGGTTTTCCAGCATTAGGATGAACCCAAATAACCAAATTTTTTTTCATGAGATGGTCTGGCATAATTTTGGTTGCTTTGACACAGAATGACCCAATTATGATAGCTTTCTTTTCCCAATAAAGACTAAATGTCTTCTCAGTCTCTTTGCCAATCACAAGAAAATCCTGAAAATTACAGGAAGGAATTTCATAAATAGGAGGACAGGAGTGTTAAAGGATGTAGTGTATTGTTGAGGAAAGGAAATGAAAAATTTGGACATTCTTGTTGAATTATTGTCAAAGCTATTACCTAGGGCATCACTATATCAGTGTGTATCTAATATGGTTGTCTGAAGGATAAATGGCAATAAAATCCATGTGCAAATTAGAACTACACAGTGCAAGAATAATATTTCTTCTTCCCCGGAACCAAAGCAACAAATCAGAATTTCCAGAGGATATGCAGGTGGGGCAGGCCAGGCTGGAGTGGTCCCCCACTCCCCCAGTTATAAAGGAAATTTTTTCTTAAAAGGCATTTATCAAGTATTATAGAAACCATTTTTAAAAGGTATTTCCCTTCCTTCTCCTTTACAGGACTCACTAATGTTAGACCTAGACCTAACCAGGGCTTTTGAATGGTATTTTTTACATTCTGCATGTTGTTCCATTTCAATTTTGTTCTTATAGATGTTCTCAAAGAGGAAAATGAGAAGGTTGAATTTTGTGTGGAAAGGATCAAAGAAAGGGAATAGGTACCTTAGGGCTAAAATATACCATTTGCTTCTGCCCTTTCAGCACAAGAAATTGCAGCATAGCCTAACTCTGTTGGCAGCTACCATCTCATGCACATGACCCTCTCATTCCAGCCTCTCTTTCCTTCCTTGCCTTCAAGTCCTTCAATTCTTCAAAATCTTTTATATCCTTGTCATCTATGCATGATGAAGCACAACTCAACAAAGTATTCCATGCACAATTATGATAAAGGCAACCAATTGTTCTTCACAAAGCATATTCAAGATGACTATTGGGAATCAAATGATTGGAATTCACTCAATTGAGCCTTAACATCTTGATGACAAGCAAAATTGCCACAGGATTCATGTGGAATTCACATTCTCAGTAGCTTTGAGTGATTAGGGTAGCAGGCTCCACAGTTGGGGCTCCAATTGTATTCGGGAAATGAAAATCATCAATCAAATGTTTCTCCCTGGGAGAGAAAGTACCTAATTTCCACATTTTGACTTAAAAATCCCATTTACTACTTTTATCCTGTCTTTGAACTTTACCTTGCCCCACTTTTTGCATTAAAATTTTTTCAATCTTTTTTCACCCATCTGTCCTGCCATATTTCCTGGAAATAGGCATTCCCATTTCCATGAACCTCATTTGCAGGTTCACAAAGGTTTTCCTAGTCTGGGATTACTAACATTTTTTGAAGCAGCATTTGATGAGAGGATTGTGGCTAATGAGGGCCCTCTGGCCAAAGACTTCTCCCTAGAAGTGGATGGGCCTGAGGTAGGGAGTTTGGTAGGGAAAGGAAGAGGAAGAAGAGATCCACTTTCTGATGGGATTTCCAGAGCTTCATCCATGACTTGTTGCCTGATCTGAGATTTCAATTCTGGTCCCATGTCTCTCTTCTCATCTCCCTCTAACCCCATATCGGTTTCTGAAAGCAAATATTAAGGAGATAAAGCACCTTGTAATAAATAAATTTGAATACAAGTTGTCCAGTGATGAAATACTCAATAATTGCCATGTGCATCTCCATAATACATATGGTCCTACAGCTACTCATGTCTCCACCAAATAGAGAACAAACATCATTGGTGATAGATTCCTGAATGGTTGTAAGGGTGTGCAATGAAGGCCACAAGAGTGTGAGAATGCCCTGGCACAGTGATAAATGCAGTAAAGTGAATGGCAGCCAAAACATTGGAAAGTCTGTTAAATGAGTGACTAAATTAAAATCACTGACAATAAAATGTAGTAGAAATAGACATCTGACAGAACACCCACCCTGACCAAAAGCTTTTTGATATGGAGTCCCAGGTGAATCTGCATTGCTATCCACACTGCAAGATGACCAAAAGAAATGACAGCATGATCCCATCTGCCAAACAAAAGGTTTCCCTGTAAGGGATATTTTAGGTGCTAACTTCAGTGTGTGGCGGGCAATGAGGAATTCCACTTCTTTTGTCCATGGGTTGGTAAACCTCTTGAAGGTGGTCTGAAGATGAGTGTAATCCCCTTCCTTGTTTCGAAATCTGTACACCTGCAAAAAGACTCTAAGATGAATAAGTTTCCAGAAATGGTTTCAACAAAAATGAAGAAAGCAGCTTACAGGAACAGCAAAACTGTCATTCTGCTTCAGAGCAGTCTTATGTGCATCTGCCAGGTGTGTGATGTCAGCTGGATAGCAGAATTCATACATGCTGGTACCCAAGAGTTCTTGTGGTAGATATCCCAGAGCCAAGGTCATGCTGAAACCAGAAGTTGCAGATTGAATGAAGTCAAGTCACCAAATCCAAATATTTACACAAATCAAGTCAGCTATGAGAAGTGATACTTACCTGGGCTCAACATAGACAAACTTCCCATCTACAGCATGGCGTGAAATGAAAGAGAAATTGGATGCAAGAGGAAGAGAGGCATCAGTTGACTCTATGCTTTCCCCCTCAGATGTAGGAGGAGAAGGAGGAACCTTGACCCCATTTAGAATAGGCGGCAGCAATCTTCCAACAGCAACCTGAGAAGACAAAGCAAAAATAAGAGCTCACTTGACCAATCTATGGACACATTGCATGTCTATGGCTTCTACTCTTTTAAGAGCAAGCTTTCATTTCCACAACTTACAAGACATGACAAATTGCATGATTCTGAATCTCCCTCTGCATCTTCATCCATTTCCATCTTTGATGGAGTCCATGCTTTCAAATATCCAGTGCAATGAATCACTTTAAACCGCTTGTCCCCTAAGGAGGATTATGTGACACTTGAGCCTAAACAGCCACCCTCAAGAGGATACTTGACTGAGTTGCAGCTTTTCTATCCTTACCTGATCCCTGGCATCTCTTCTTCCTTGGAGTTCCAGTCATAGTATCAGCCTCTTCCTTCACCGGAAGCCCAACATTCTTGCATTTCATACGACAGAAAAAGGACCTCCTTGCACCAGTACAGAAGCCTATCAGTTGGTTCTCATTGGGAACATCTGCTTTTACAGGCAGAAAAGCTAGGGAGACATTCAAATTGTCATGATCATGAATGTCATGAAATGTTTTTCTTGAATTGACTCTGCAATCATTGTGAAACTCACTTTTGGAATCAATAAGTCTTTCCCGAGGACTGAGATCAGAGGATGAAAGCTGTTCCTTGACCTTAGATATGTCTTTTGGGTGAAGGATATCAAACCAACTCTGACCTATAAAATCAGACTGAAATGGAAAACAAAACCAGATAACTAAAAAAGTCAACTTCTGTAAACTTGGTGTGAAGTAGGGCAATAGTGCCCCAAGAAGCATGAAACTGCACTTTACAATAAGGCAGCAATAATACTAGGGAAAATAATGAGGTCAAAATTGAATTCTATCCCTACAAGCAATGGAGGCTACATATTCAGATCAAGAGATCCTGAGCTGTGGAATTTCAGGAATATTAATTTTGGGAGTGTCCATTATTTGACAACCTGAATGTAATTTTTAGTTAAACAAAGAGAAGCTCCCAATATGCCATATCAAAGTACTGTACTTAGAGAGCCATGATATATGGAGAAAACACAAACATTTTTTCTCATGCACTTGAATAACAAAGCAGTGTTGTAACAGTCCATTGTTACCTAACTTTCCCACACCCCATTGAAGTAAAGTCAAATGATCAAAGTCTAATAATTTAAAAGAAAAACTCACTTGAGAATATCCCAAAAGACGAGTCACACTTGCAGAGACATAAAGGATTCTCCCTCTATCACATCCAACAACGAAAACAAACCCATCTGCAATCTGAAAGACAGGTTTTTAATACAAACATAAACATTTACAAGTCAACATCTACTAACACTCCTTTAGTCTCACCTGAAGAATAATTTGTTTCAATTCCTGATGTGACAGAAAGGAAGGTTTGCATCTTCCTTCAGTAAGAGAGTGGACAGATCCCCGAATAGTTTTGATGTGCTGAACTGCCATGCGAAGAACTGTTAGCTTGTCTAGCTTCTTTGACATAGCAGAGCACATAGGCACCAAAGTTGCCAGCTCTGAAATATATGTGTTCATCTTGTCCCTTCTCCTCTTCTCAATCTCACTATGATTCTGTCTGCTGAAAAGAATTGAATTCATTCCAACAAATGAGACATTTCTCAATTCCAGAGGGGGACTCTACAAGACATAGACAAACAGCTCACCTTGTTGGTTTTTTGCCTCCTGTTTTCATTGACTTCATATATCTAGTGTCTTTCAGATCTTGGTAGAAATCTTCTGATAAACTCAAACTCTCTGAATCAGTTATAAGAGACATGACTGTGTCCAACTGCAGTCCAATATGAGTTTAAATAGGTGAAGCTCTAGGCTTTTTCAGAGTTGGAAAAGAGCTGTGGAAAAGGACATGTGAAGCTATGAAGCCACTTTCCAAAGGCTTACACATCAAATGCACTGAGTAACCAAAGGCCTATTTTGACCTCCAAGGTCAAGCCAAGTTGGAAGCTTATACTTTTCTGCATGCCTAATCTACCCTTCCTTGTTTAACCACAGCAACCCCAGGCATTTTTGTTCAGTTAGTTAAGCATTCCAGAAAATGAAGTAGCAAGGTGCAACCATTTGCTCCCCATGGATGTACAGGTTGTATCATGTTATCAGAATTGAAGTGTCTTACATTCACAAATGTTCTGAGATTTTTAGAGATATGAAGTAGAGTACAGTATGGAGCAATCAAAACAAAAGAACAGGTTGTGAATATAAGATACATCGGTTCTGATAACATGATGCAGCCTGTACATTCATGGGCAGCAAATGGAAGCACCTGAAAGGACAAGAGCATTCTTTGTTGCTTAATTCAGGCTGCTGGAAAAATGCCATTCTATTTACAGAAACCCTAATATATAATACTTCCTCTTTCAATAGGTATTGCAAGATAGTGAGCTAATATGCAAAGTAGTTTCACAGCCAGCATTCAAGACTTTCCCTACTTACTCATAAAAGGTTGTTTTTATTGATGAAAACTTGGATCACCACTAGGACTATGGAGAAACATTGCATACACATGTCCCTTGGGCTTAAGTGGTTAAGAGCTGGCTAGAAATCCCAAATAGATAAGTCAATGTTTTGCTTCTAGAAATGGCTAGGATTAGGGCTACCATAGGCATAAACTCATTTTTGCAGCCATTGTAACAGAAGGCCTAAGCCATTGGCAACACTGACAGGTTTCATCAGATTTTTTAAATTATTACTGTTATCTATAACTGAATAAGCATCTCTACAATGCAAAGCTCCTCCAACCTAGATAAAAATGTATTTATCCTGGAACATCTCTCTTCCACTGATAAAGCAGTTCCTAGTTTGAAGGACTGAGAAAAACTAAATCCTATAATTTCTCTGCTTCTTCTGCAGCTCTTTAGTTTATCTTTTTCATTTCATTTCATTTTCAATTTCATTTCAATGAAAGGACTGCCAATGACTTGATGTCAATCTAAACTTTCCCTTTCTTAATTTTCATTTAATAAGTCACTCTGGGAAGGACTGCTTTAGTTTCAATTTAGAAATGGGGCAATTAATTTCACATTATAAATTCAAGTTACTGCTATATTTTCCACTTGTGATCCAATAGTGTTTGTGCCCTCCATGACAAAATTTTTTTAAATGATTGCTCAACTTCTCCCATCCATCAACATTAGTATTCACCTATACCAATGATGGATGCTTTCAAGGAAAAAGTAGAATAAAATAAAAATAGGAATTCTATTCAAATTCCATTCTCATTATGTCAATTCACAAAATGCCAACATCTGAGGGCTTCCTTCCTGTTTTTGATAGCGACAGTTCCTTCATTAATTTCTCTTTTTTTTCTTCAAGCATCTAGCCCAGATTTGGGCTTCCATCAGTCAGGATCATGACTGAGGCTGCCTTCCATATATCTTATGACCATGAGTCACATTATGCCTCAATGGTCAGAACTTACCAAGAATACCACTCCCAATTGAAGGGTTGAAAGGTAGAGTGGTCTATCTGCGAAAAATTTTAAAAAAGGATAGTTGAAAAGTCACCATTCCTGTGTGGAGTTTGAGGAAAGAATTTTTTGCAGATAGACCAGTTTAATTCCTTCCTAAATTGCAAGGAAAAATATTTAAAAAAACACATACACACAAAGTGAAGTAGCTCATATGAGTTCTATTCCAATCAAGTCATTTGTCAAAGAAGACATAATTCATGGTCATGGAAGCACAAGATGACCCAATAAAATGGGTCATCTTGATTTATAAGTATAAAATTCAGATATGGGAAGATTCTACTGTATGAGAAGAATATCACACAATATCACCTAAAGAATATCACACCATATCACCTTTAGATATCACTCAAATGGATATCACATAGGAAAAGGGATGAAAAGTACATGAAAATGCAAGGATCCAACATGAGATGGTACAAAAAAGAGTTTCCATACTGCAGGAATGCCAGCTGTCTCATTACTTTTAGCCATAACTGTATAGGGACAAACTTTCTTAACTAAGTAGCAATGGAATTCCTGTTATGCATGCTGATAAATAAGGGAGACAAATGAAATAGTTATTAAAAAAAAAAAGGGCTTCAACATATTCAAGTCAATTGTGTCATTGCTCATATGAGATCAGAAATTTATGAGTCATTCATCTCAGAAAGGGATCCAAATGGGGGGAAAATGCTTATTCATAAAGGAAGAAATCCAAAGTTTTAAAAGGAGACCATAAAAGGGATTTTAAAGTCATTCATTACAAGTCTATTAGAGGCTGGGATTTCAAAAGTTCTTTGCTGCAAGACCAATTTTGGTGGCATTGACTTTCTCTGCAAAGCGAAGGGAGTTCAGGGATTCCTGAGCATGTTGCTGAATGGGGGAGACATTGATGAACATGAGGGTTTTGCAATTTCCTCCAAGACAGTTCTGAAGCAGGTGTGTCAACTTTGAATTCCGGAATGGAATGTGCAGAGAGGGCTTGGATGACTTGTTGCCCAAGGCCATGATGCAATTGCTCAAAGCTGTGAGAGAAGAATTTATATTTTTCAGTTCTGTGAGGTGACTTCCTTCTGCACCTGAATTCTTTGCTCTTTCTGAGCCAGCTAGGTCCACCAGATTCAGAATCCCAGAACAGGTTTTATTCAAGTCTGTGTTGATTCCATTGAGCTTAAGTATAAAGACTGAATGTGATCTTGAAGAATATTCATTGCATTCAGTTTCAGCCACAGCACGGTGCTTCTGTGCTAGCTTCACAAGACTCAGGAGATGTTCCTCTGTCTGAATGACTTCTTTGGTGAGATTGGTCACATAAGTTTCATTGTCAATGTGGCGAAGTTCATACTTAGTGGTAGTGTTCCAGCTTGGGGCCAGTAGGTCTTGAATTTTCTCATTGTAAATCTCCAAATAACTGACTTGTATGGTATAAGACCATCCCAAAGACTGCATGCGGTCACATTCTTGAAATATGTATTTGACACTACGTGGAATAACACCAAGAGTTTCTGAAGCAGAAGTGTCACCCTCCATTGTGAAGGTCTTCCCACTTCCTGTTTGCCCATATGCAAAGATGCAGACATTGATGCCATCCAGGGCAGACTGGACAAGCTGGGACAACTCTTCAAAGATGTCAGATTGTGAAGAAAGAGGACCAAACACCTGATCAAACTGAAAGCGGTTAAACTTGGCAGTCTTGGCTCCTATCAAGCTTCCAGTTTCTGTGGTGATCTGAATACACTTGTCATTGGGAACCTTGATATGTGGAATGTCAAAGCAATCCTCACCTTCCTGGATTTCTCCTGCAGTGAAGGGCCTCACTCTGCAGAACACTCTAATATTCCCCTTCACTTCTTGCAGCTGTTCATGCAAATCCCTTCTTTTTGACTCCTCACAAAGAAGCTGTCCTTTCATATCTGTTATGGTTTTATCTTTTGCAGAACACTCCAACAGAATATTTTCTTTATCCACCTCCAAAATTTTTACTTCATTTTGTACTTTCTCTAGCTTCTTTTTGCAAATAGCCAGCTCATCTTGATACTTTTGATGCTCAATCCTCACTTTAGACAGTTCATCCCTCACTTGTTGCAGCTCTGATTCATACATGTTTCTAATCAATTCGGACTGCTTATGATGGAGCTTTTCAGTAGCTAGTTCACACTCAAGTTGGCTGGTCCTTTTACTGTAGTTCTGTGATTGGGTCTCTAGTTGCAAGTTCTCACTAGTCAGAACCTCTAGCTTCTTCTGCAACTCACCTATATCAGGAAGGCTTCTGATGTAGGCTTCCAGGTCCTCCAACCTGCCTTTGGTATCCCAGCCAGGTCTTTTCTTTTTCAAAATTGAATGGACAGCCTTCCCTTTCTCATTTTCTGCTGGCTTTTCTGGCACAAGATTTTTTACATTGCTGAGAGGACCTGGTTTTGCAATCATTGTGTTCTGATTTCCCAATGGACGGGATAAACTACTGGAGGTCTTGATTGATAGGTCACGTCGAGAACCTGCGGAGAACTTACTTGATGGTGGCCTCCCAGCTTTGGGATCAACACGCAGTTGTTGCCGGCCCACAACAAGTTTGCTGGTAGACCGAAGCGTAGCTGCACCCCTATGAGTGATGGACTTTCTTTTCTTAGACCTGGGTCCAGTTGATGGTGGTGGCAGAAGTGAACCTTCATCTTCCCATTTCTGATGTGGGCACATTTCAGGGAGCTCATCCTCTCTTTTCCTCTTGCTCTCATTTATTGTACAGAACACAGGCAAACGAGAGCGAGATCCATTACCTTGTTCAACAAGATTTTCCTTTTCAGATGCTAGCTTGCAACTCATCTTGTCAAGTACACACTTTCAAGTCCCTCTGGCTACCTGCTTCACAGACCTGATTCCACTAATCACCTATTTCAAGATAAGAAAATACAAATTAGTTGCAGTCAAGAATAGGTTAAAGCTTTGACCACATAGAATCTCTCTTGAAGTACAAATAACTTCCCCCCCTCCCCACATTGATTTGAGAATGCAAAGAATCTATTCAGAAGAAATCTTGCATCCATATGAAAGAAGCACCAAGGTTTTCACTGTATACCAAATGTTAAGACCAATAAGTCTTATATGGCAATGTCTGTTGAAAGGTGATCCCTACACGTATAAAAGCTTGCATGCAACTACCTAAACAGAATTATAAATACTCTGAAGACAATAAGAATAGTAATTGAGACCATTCTCCTGTAACACATTGAGGCCCATCACAAGATGATGACCATGAGGGGACTCATCTGATTTGACTCTACAGCTCAGTATTGGTTTGGGTTTGATTCATTTAATAGGAATATGAATTAATACCACAGGAAACCTAGGAGGCCTAGATTCAGAAGAAATGAACTGCATGTCTACTACAGCAGTTTTCCAAGATGAATCCATATCTCTGTTAAAAAGCAGTGACCCATCATCCACTTTGTATTCATACTTCACACATTCATATTCCTAAACCATTGAAAAACTACATTTCAGTTACTTGAGTCAATTTGGTTATAGAATGGTCTCACCCTTGGCACCATACATCAAAGGAAGCTAATTCATTTGAATTGTGAAACAATAATGGTCTTATATTAAAACACTGACTGCCATTAATGCCACATGGCATGTTTAATGTGGCAAGTCTCCACCAACCAGGAATGCTTGGCAAGGACATTTAAGGGGATTTAAATCCCCAACAGTTAAAATGTTTGAAGTACATAGGTTTCTGAGAATGGAATACTGCTTTGCTTACATTAAATTAAAGCATATTTCCTGCATTATTTTTCAAACCAGATGCCAGTGCAGGGACAAAGCCCCTGACTGAAAGTGTTTAAAGGAAAGATCAAACATAATGGGGTAGTACCATCTGACCTGAAGAGAAATTTAGAATAGACCTATCACACTGGGAGGAGAATGTCAATCATACAACACCCTTCTTTACATCAGACCTATGGGCAAAGTCGATAGATTAAATTTTCTTAAAGGTCAAGTCCTAAATGCAAAAAAAGTAAGCCCAATAATTTGTAAATAGTTGGGCTGTACCAGTGGCCACATTTGGCCAGTGGGCCAATTTGTTCTTCATAACCATTGGCTGATGCCGGTGTCAATTGTGGCCTGTAGAAGAACTCACCTATAAATTCAAATAGGCCTAATTGGAAGCCGTGTGATACTTATCAGTAGGGCACCTTGAAACAATAGAGACCACTTTTGGTCCTGTCCAGCCTGTCTGTCTCTCTATAAGGCTGTCAATGATTAGCTTGTCCATTGCTGCTGTTGAGAGCATTTAGTGTCATATCCCTTACAAAAGCCTAACATAAGTGGAGACACAATGACTTCCCTTCTTTATCGCTCCTTTCCTCTGCCGGTTCCTATAATCTGGCTGCAATATAATCCAATCAATATTCTTGTCTGGGAGAGGCTGGCAGGAGTAATTTTCAGTGAGACAAGAGGGTTCTGTGCCTAGCCGCGTTCACACACTCACAGTTTTTTTTTTTCGTTTTGCCCATCCTTAGGCCCCCACATTGGCACCATAGGCCAGTGGCTGTATTCAGAGTAAAATGGTGTCTATTTTTCTCATATTCCTTTACTTTGTCACATCTTTAAGAGGGTGAACTAGCCCTCCAATGGATCAGCCATTGATACTGAATGTTACAGGTTCAGTCCTGGCCCACATCCTCACTTCTTTTTTCATTCACCTCAACTGAGTCTCAGGTCAGATTGGCCAAAAAGGGCTCACTCAAATGGCGTGCGAAAATGTAGGTTAGGCCGGGATTCAACTTGCAGTAACGTGAGTCTGCACTGACATTTCGACTTCGGGAAAGAATCCTGACCTTAAATTCCAGTTACCCTATCTTATATGCTACAGGTTAGGCCTAGACTACTTGGGCGATCGCCAGCATTATCATCGGCTGGCCATCAATGCTAGCCAGCAGCCAGCTAAGCAACTTATTACTTAAGGGAACTACCATGTAGATAAATCTATCAATGAAGCCAAGGCCTTGAAATCGACGAAATTGTAACAGTTAATGCTGGAAGCTCATTCAAGGAGAACTACTTCTGTGGCGCACCGTGGACCATGTGACCTTGCGAAAGCAAACTGGGAGCAATGTTGCCAAATGCGAAACCCAAATGTTTCTAGTCAGCTCCGACAACCTCAAGTCATGCATCAGGTCTAGTGCATCACACTCATCCCAATTTCCTTGCCCCGTTGATCTGAAAAAAAAAACAAGGGGCCAGCATCACCATTGAAAATGTTACTCACGACCACACACGACCACACTGTCTTCCCCTATTGAGTCCCGTCCCCCCCCTCCCCACATTGATTTGAGAATGCAAAGAATCTATTCAGAAGAAATCTTGCATCCATATGAAAGAAGCACCAAGGTTTTCACTGTATACCAAATGTTAAGACCAATATGCCCCCCCCCCCCCCCCCCCCCCCCCCCACGTTCTGGTATCGGTTATGCTGTTTGTCGTTAGAGGATCTCTAGGAAAGTTCCCTAAATAAAATACTAGGGAATATGATGGCTAGATTGCACTTTTACATCATAGCATTGTATTTCAGTTGTTAGTTGACAAGTTGTAGTGAAGTTTCACGATGTCTATTTTTAATTCCTTTATTCTCATTTCTTTTATACGTTCAAATAGTAAAAATATGAAGTTTAAATGGAGTACATTTTCGAGCGATGATTTCAAAGTGGGGCTGAAACAGCATGAAGCGCTTCAGCCGGTGATATCTGCATTTGAGGAAGAGACTCCGTCACAGAACACGCTATTCTTGGCGTGACGAATTTCGCCGTGCCAGGGGGATCACTTCCAGACGATCAACGATCAAGGAGGCCATCAATAAGTGTCAAATTGTCATGCGAGGAGTTTGGAAAAAGTTGAGCCCCACTAAGAGCTGCGCAACCCTAGACTCGCTATTTTTCGATTGCATACAAGCAATATATGTGGTTGTAGTATGAACATTTCATGCCTTTTCTTTGCCCCCTCCAAAAGTTTTTATGTGTTTTTCTATGTAGGTTCACTCGTGTGCTGAATTGAGTAAAATACACAGCAGAGACGTGACCCAATTCCTGTTCATCGAAAACGTTTGTCATAAGGAGACCCACGAGCGAATTTTGGCACATGTTCACGGAAACGCGTGGCCGTGAATTTTCTGCACACAATTCGCCACCTGTTACGTTTCGTAAAAGGAAAGTAAGGTAAGAAAGCAAGTGCAACATAAAAAAACACGGAGTCAAAGAGTCATCAGATATTTGATTCCAGCATCGAAGACGATAGAGTCGAAAGAACGACAGTGTAGCATCGAAGACAGGGAACGAAAGACCATAGGAACTGTTAAGTACGAGGTATGTGCCAGGGCTCGATAACACTGGAGGATTCCATATACCTCATGGTATAGCGGAAACCAGTTGTAAACCTGCTCGGCGTGCTTTGGGTTTTCTCGGTTGTCTGTCCTCTCCGAGGTTATGGGCCTCGTTCTTCCAGATCGTCCAGATAATTGAAAGGACGATGGATTTGGAATGCATGTGCCATCTTTCAACGGAGTCGGTCGTCCACGGTAGATGATCCGAGATGCAAAAAATCTGCAAAAAATGCTCTTTCCACGTGTCGGCGAGGAAGAGCTGCCTCCCCCTGCGTCTTTGCCCGTCCCGATCGAGGTCAGTGTCTTCCAAGTGACCTTGCATGAAAGTGTGGAAGACCCTCACAGGGGGTTCGGAGGATAAGATCTCAAGTGCGGTGAAATCTTCCAGGGGTGGGACACATATATATGATATAGTCATTTTTAAACCCATACAACTGAACTCGCCGATACACGTCGAATAAATAAAAAAAAGTATATTTATTTTAAAAATTAGCAATGGGGATATCCCCGGGAGAGAAAGGGAAAATCGCCCGGATTCCTTAACCCCATTAGAGTCAGTATGACCCTCCCATGATAGAATTCGTGTCATAGAAAAAAGGTGAAGAGCCAAGAAGGTCTGGACAGCTTTAGGGCTCGGGATCTATTTCAGCGAACGCTTTCTCGTTTCTTTGCCTCCACCGAAGGTTTTTTTTATGTTGTTGAAAGGAATATATATCATGCTTATGATTTTTATGGCAGCAGTCGGCACCTGACTAGAATGAATGCGGGTATAGATGGTAGAGAGTTCAATAAAAAACAGGGGGGAAAGTTCCATCCGCAAGCCAGTATTGATTAAGTCCCAGAAGATCCAGGCCTCAGTCACAAATAACAAGATTCTCCTCTACAAGCCTGTAACTTTTCTTCTTTCTTCTGGGGTCAAAGAGGGAAACTGCGTCCTCCGTCCGCAGGAGTCGCGGAAACTCCTCATTTCGGTATTCTTCGGGAAGGAAAATCTTACTCGAGGGAGTAGATGTGAGTGAAGGGGCGAAAAGAGGTCTAGTTCGATCGAAAGTCTCGCACAAGTCAAATGCAGAGGCGAGGCGTTGGGGGCCAGCGGGGGGGGGGGGCACGTGCCTCCCACTTTTCAAGAAAGGAAGCCAAAAAAAGGAAAGACCCACGAATTGCATAACAGTATCCCAGAGTTCCTGTGCCCCCCCCCCCCCCACTTCGTCCTGTGCCGCTCCACATTATCCCGTTCTCTCTGATCCTCCCCCCCCCCCCCCCCCCNCCCCCCCCCCCCCCCCCCCCCCCCCCCACCCTTACATTTTCCATCCATGCTACACTAATGCGTTGGTGGGTGGCTGAGAGAGTTGCCTCTTGAACATTCCGAGTTCAGAAGAAATGATTGAAAAGGGAATGACCAGAATGACCGAGCCATGAATAAAAGGGTCGACCTTCGAAGCCGTCG